TATATATATATATATCCTTTTTCTTGTACTCTTTAGGGTCTTAAAATGACTTATAAATTGTTTTATTTCATGCAATTTATTATTGGTTTTTGTGTTCCATTCTGTCTTCCAGTGAGTATTTAAAGTATCTACAACTAGTGTTTTAACATCATTTCGGAAAACGGGTTTATTGGAAAGATTGTGCGTGGTTTTTGCTCCAAAATCAAGTAATTCCTTTCTGGGGATTCCAGCATGCCCTGGGACCCAAGCAAACAGTATGTTAAAACCTTTAGCATTAAGGATAAATTACTAGGGCCGGGATAGTCTATTAGGTAGGACGCTGGATTCACGTTCGTGAGAACGGGAGTTCGAATCCAGCCGGCCGAAGACTCCCCATGTAGTAAATGGTGACTGGTGCACGTTAAATCTCTCTGGTCACTAAGTCCCCGATGTTCTCAGGACAGAATATACTTCTAAGGCTATTGGATTGGAGATTGATCTTTCTCTGGTTTAGGTTAAAATTATGATCTGTGGATGAATGAATGGATGTATGAATGGGTCTGCCCTATAAACGGGTGTGGCAGAATTCTCGGCCATAGATGGAGCCACTGGAAAACAAGAGCAATCGCACCCCAGTGATCTACTGGCCAACGACAACATCAATTTTAGCATACGAATTATTAGAGAATACGGTTCAATATTTGAATTTAGCAAAGCTTCGAGACAACTTTTGGAATCAGTATAGATTATCCATTTTGGATAATTTCGGTTGGAGATGTACTCAAGTGTTAAATAAATAGCATGACATTCAGAGGTGAAAATGGAGCTTGCAGAGTTAAGTTTCACTGAATACGTTACATCTTTGGAAACATCTGCAGCTGCCACATTATAATTTGCTTTACAGCCATCGGTGAATAAAGGTGTTTAAAATAATCATACAACATTTGATGATTAAAATAATTTATTTGATAAATTATTGGTGGGGTTACTTCTTTTGTCTAGCTTTTAAAAATATGGATGATATGAAGTGGAACGGTGTACCAAGGTGAAAGTGGTGTGGATGATAGTAAAAAATTGAAATCTTCAATTCTTAGGTATGATAAAAAAATGTTAAACTAAAAAATGTTTGGTCTATGGTTGAAAAGTATATTTTAATTAGGTGATAAAATCTTAGAATACAGAGAGCGATTAAGATAGCTTTTGATGTGAAAATAGTAACTTAATGCAGACTTATATCGGCATGTTTGAAGAGACGGTTCTTGGTATTAAACATACAGACTTTTAATTGGAGAAGTTCTAAAAGCACCTGTCACAATTTTAAGGCCTTCATTGTGGATAAAATCAAGATGTCGTAATAAAAATTTTCTGTCAGACATATAAATTACTGAGCCGTGTTCCATTTTAGAGCGAACTACAGAACATTAAATTTTCAGCATGGAAAAAGTATCCGCTCCTAAGAAATATTTGACCTTAAGTAATTGCTGCAATTTTGCCTTGAATATTTCATATGAAAATTAACTTTGAATCTAGGATCAGTCCAAGAAATTTTATTTCTGTTACAACTGGAATACAGAAGGTATTGAAATATATTTCTGAATCCAGATGAAGGTCTCTTTTTCTGCAAAAGTGTACGCACGATGTTTTTGCTTCAGATAATGTAAATCCGTTTAAATTTGCCCATTTTAGTACTTTATTGATTGATTGCTGAGGTAGTCGTTCAGTAGTTTGCATATGAGAGGCTCTGCAAGATGATCTAAAATCATCAAAGAATAATTCCTATTAACTGTTTCCAGTAAAATTGTTTAAAACTCGTTAGTTTTTATTAAAAATAGAGTAACGCTTAAGATGCTACCCTGTGGTAAACCCCCTTCTTGGACAAAAACATCTAATAAAATTGCAGTTTGTCTAACTTGGAAAGTTCTGTCCCGTGATATTATATTCCAGTGATATTATAAGACAGTAGGTTTTTCAAAATTCCATGACGCCAAGCTCGGTTATAGGCTTTTTCTAGGTTAAAGGATACAGCAACCATATGTTGCTTTTTTTAAAAAAAATGCCTTTCTAACTTCAGTCTCCAAAAGCAAACTATTGTGGAACGGCACTTTCGAAAATCACCTTTTCTGCTCGATAAAATCTCTTGACTTTCAAGAACATGGACTAGTCTTTCATTTATTATTTTCTAACAGTTTTCAGAGGCAGCTTGTGAGTGCTATAGGTTTATTATTTTTCACGATTTTCCAAGTTTTTACCAGGTTCAGGAACAAAATACTGGAAAGAAACTGGTTGTTTTATAATAAATATTAATTACTTGAAAATATAAAAAACATTAAAATGTAAAAGTCCTTTGGTAGAAGATGTATAGACCAAAAGACTGCATATGTGGAATACTCAAAAATCGAGAAAAGTACACACGCTTTTCAAAATTCTATAACTTCGTCAAAAAAAATCAAATCGATCTGAAATTCTGAGGGCTTTTATAGAATGGTTCAAATAACTATTTTCTATTAACAAAAAGTACAAAAATTTTTTTTTCCAAGTTTGGCAAGTGTTCAAACTTAACAAATTTTTTCACTGTAAAACTTATACATATATATATATATATAAACATATATATATAAACATATATATATATACATATATATATAAGCATATATATATATAAGCATATATATATATATAGAATGTCGAAAGTAAAATTTAATTGAAGAAATGTGTAGGACATTTCACAATTCGTTGCCGAGTTTGAAAAGAATTCAAAATAACATTTTCACGAGTGCANTCCACAAATGCATAGGCACATATATATATATAATTCGGACTCCTTTTAATAACGTTTTTATTTTCCTTTGAATTAAATAAATGTGTCCTTCTTAATTTTTTTTCTTGCTTTAATTTTGGTAAAAATATTCGAAATTGCTATTGACAGCGGCGAATATGTAAAAAAGGACTACATACTGAAAATGTGCGCTAACAAAATCGGTATTAAACCCGTCGAAATTGTTGTCTTGATGGTAGATAATCACGCGTGGCACAGTAAAAGAAATGTTATTAAATGCTTAAAATTTCAAATTTTATTATATGTTAAAATTAAATGTAAATTTAATGTATAAGTCGACTTTTAATAGTCACATTTGAGTTAATTTTTAATTGACTATAAATTTACTAAAATTCCGTTTACAAGTAAATAAGCATTTAAAAGTAATTATTTACGAATATGTTATGATGTAATAACAACTCTAAAAAAATTTTATGTTTCAGTTTTTCATTTTACCTAATGAATGCATTAGAATCTTTTCAAATATTGTTACAAAAATTATTTAATACAGCCATGAATTAGATTTGATCGATTTCTCTTTAACATTGTTGCCAAATTCCTTCGCCTTTGTATCGTTATATGGCATGCAAGTAAAGGTGATCTAGATTCAGTTACCACTTCCAAAATTAAGTCACGTATCGGTCTTTGATAAAGTATACCTCGCTTATTAGTTAATCGGAAGCGTTAGTAATTAGCTCACTTAAGTCGTAGCATAACAAAAATATCGAATAACTAGCTGCCTTTGTAGACCAGCTTGGTCACCTTTCAAAATCATGTTGTACAACAAATAAACTGTAATGGTAACCAAGCATAACTGTATTTAAATATTCTGATTCTTCAACCCCTCTTCCAATCCCAACTCCTTAATTAGTTCTAAATAGTATAATAACCAATTTTTTTCTCCAGTAGCAAGAGAAAAAAATCTTAATTTGCGAAGTCCTTTTTAGGGATTCATTTTATATTATACGATCAATAAAAATTTTGTACTTTATAATTAAGTTTAGGTGGTAACGGTTCTAAAGCAATTCTTTTATATAATTCTAGCTGTGAAGTACTTTTCTTATCAAAGTTTTGTACGCATCCCTTAGATATCTTTTAGTTCATTCACTTCTCAAAGCTAGAAATTTCGCTACAAAAGTAGTATTTTCTCTAAAACTGATCATCCAATAAATATGAAATTTGTGTGTTTATTTTTCATTCATTATTTACAGCATTTTGCAACAACAAAAAATTTTCTACTGGAAAATATGTCCCTTTTATCTTAAAAAAAATTGATTCTGTAATTTTTAATTTTTAACTTGCATCATTTTCCCAAATATCTACAATTTGACTTGTTGACTTAACGTATTTTAACAGCACACAATAGCAACTTACGGGCAAAGAAAAGACGTTCTCATTAAAAATGAAACAGTTGCTAACTTAGCAATATTTTTAAAGACCAAAATCTTATCTACGTGGCTCTAGATGAATTAAGAAGTGAGATATCCAAAAATTCATTAGAAGCTTGACAACTTTTCCTCTATAGAAACAGTACGTGATAGACAATTTTAGTTCTGATTAGTTTTAGGTGGATCAAGCACCTTTTATTTAAACAGAATCAAAAATGTTTCCTCTAGTGGACAGAGAAATTCAATTTGCTGAACAGGGTAATTTAAAGTTAACCTTTTCCAAAAAAAATATATATATATTAACAAAATTGTGATGGTTTTCAAGTGTTGTTCTCAATTACCTTAACAATACAATATAAATATTTTTTTATAAGAATTCCATTCAAAATTTTTAAATGATACTAGTAGCTAGAAAGTAGCTAGAAAAAAATTCATAGCTATACTAACGTTAATTTAGAAACATTTTTTATTTTATCATCAGGGGTACAACGATTCCAATCAATTGAGCTCCCCTCATAAATATACAACTAAAAATAAAAATAAAAGCATCGATGTTATTTGAAAGGTAAAATAAAATAAGCTTGTACTTACTTTAACTCAAAAAATGTCCGTGAATCCAGTATTTTTAGAGAAAGGCCACTAATATCCAAATGATTAAGTTTGTCTAACTCAGAAAAACTGTTAATACCCAACACTTCAATAGGATTACCAGATATGTCTAATCCAACAAGCTTGCGTAGGTTTCTCCACAAATGCATAGGCACGTTTTGCAGCAAGTTCCTAGATATATCCAAAAATCGCACATTTCTACACTTTTCAAAAATATCCTGAGATATGTTGTAAAGATAATTATCCCTCAGATTCAGATAGTGAAGATTTGGAAATGGCAGCACAGATAACGATATCAAGCTGGTATTTTGTAAGTAGAGGGATCTCAGAGAATTTAATGAGCTAAGAGATGTCTCACTTAATTTTCGTAAAGGATTATGGGACAGATCTAATTCAATCAAGCTGTTCAGACCATTCAAGCTCTGTTCGTGAAGGAAGGATATGAAATTGGAAGACAAATTCAAGGCCTGAAGGTGGTTTAAATTTAAAAAACTATCTGCAGAGATATTCTTGAACAAATTTAATGACAGGTCTAAATGTTTTAAAGTAGTCCTTATGTCTGTCAATGATATAATTGGTAGTTCTATTAACCTGTTATGAGATACGTTTAAGTGTTCAAGTCCGGTATCACTAAACGTTCCATCGGGTAAAAAATCAAGATTATTGAAACTCAGATCTAAAATTCGCAAGTTTTTCATATTTTTGAAGGAGTCTCTTTCAACATAAAATAGATTGTTGTGGTCCAAAGTTAATATCTGTACATGTCGGCAACAATTAATGTGTGTAGCATTTAAATGTTCAAAAGCATTGCAAGATAATTGTAAAATTTGCAAATTTGGCAACGGGACTGAAGGAAGATTTGAAATATTGTTTTTAGAGATAAACAAGTACATCAAATATTTTTCAAGGTTAAAAAACAAAGAGTCTGGTATCACAGTTAACATATTGTTCGTGAGGTCTAATGTTCTTGTTTTCATCAGAGATAGCAAAGAATCGTTTGCGCAATTTAACTCTCTCAGCAAATTGTTCGATAAATTTAGATAGAGGGGAGAGGTATCACCAGAAAATATATCGAATGAAAAACATTCCAACTTATTATTTTGAAGGTAAACGTTAGATAATTTGGTGAGATTATTAAAAGCAGACGTATGTATTGCGGATATTTCGTTGTCAGATAACACCACAGTGTGTAGATACGGACAATTTGAAAAGGAGTTGCCTTCAATTAAAGAAATCTTATTCGAATACAAAACAGCAGTAGATAAGTGAGGAAGAGCATCGAAAGTACCACTTCTTATTACTTCCAATTCATTATGACTAACATGGACGGCACTTAAATACGCATGAGTGGCCATTTTAAAAACGTCAACTGAAATATCTTTTAAATCGTTGTTGCTGATATCCAAGTGGCGAAATTTTTGCAATCGATCAGTACAGAATGCTGAGAGTTTAGATATGTTATTATGGTCCACCTGAAGCCATTCCAAATTATCTAAATCTCTTATAAAATTTTCAAGGGGATAATTGTATTCAGTAAAAGCCGAAGTAAGATCTAGAACTTCAAGAGTTTTTCTTAGAGGTATAAACACTTGTTGGTCAACGTGCATTAAGTTATTGAAAGAAAGTTTTAGTTCTTTTAGTTTAGATAGATGAGAGAATGATCCTCCAGATAAATATGTCATTTTATTATTGGCCAAGCTTAGTGTAGTTAATGTTTGTCCCCAACCTTCAAAATCATCTCTATGTATTTTTTGTATTTTGTTATCTTGGAGGCTTAAGCGCACCAATTTCGTCAATGACTTCAGAGCTTTCTTTGGAACATGCTGAAATATGTTTCCTGACAAGTCTAGTGTTTCTAACTTGCTTCTACAACCATGCAGATCACCTTTATCAAGTTGCTTCAGAAGGTTACTTTTAAGCGATAAATACATCAGCGATTTCAAATCATTGACAGCAGTCGGGAACATTTCTAAAAGATTAAAACTTAAATCTAAAATTGTCAGCGTCTTCTCAATACCAACAAACGCATCTGCATGAATGTTTGTAATGCGATTGTTCGCTAAAACCAGGCGTTCAAGCTTGGTTCCTTTAAAACTCCGACCTGAAAGTATTCGTATGAAATTAAAGTCCAAATGCAATTCTTTAATTGTGAAAGAACCATTGAAGACGCATTCGGGGAAATGTGTCATCATATTGTTGCTAAGTTCCAATTTTTCCAAACGAGAAACGTGCAAATAAAAAGGACAAGGTAGCTTTTGAATGAGGTTTCCAGCCAAATACAAGAATTTCAAATGCTTTAAAGAGTATATCGCATGAAGAGGCACTTTTTTCAAAATATTATTGGATATTGACAAAGATTTCAAAAAGAATGGCATTGAATTGCTTTCCACATCATGAATCAAGTTACCATCCAGATCTAACAAGTTGAGATTAATCAACTTTACGAACGCACCTTCCGGTATGCTAGTTATCGAGTTTGCTCCTAAAAATAAACTATTTAAACTAGAACGACAATTCAGTTGTGACCATTTAAAATTCTGAATATCATCGATTTGATTCCCGTGCAGGTTGAGCCACTGTAGATTGTTTAGTGGACTAAGAGCATTGAGCGGAAATTGGCTGATCTTGTTTTGACTTAGATCCAATGTAGTAAGGATATCTTCAAGTCCACTAAATGCCCAAGGTGAGATGCAAATTATGTTGTTTTGCATCAAATGTAGGGAAGCAACACTTGAACCTTCAAATATATTGTTGTTTAATATCTCTAATCCTGAACGCATTATTTTTACCTATAAAATAATGAAAATTATGTATAGATATAAAATTTGGATTAATGCACTAATGTAATATTTAACAATACTGTAATTTTCATTAAAAAAAATCGAATTTTTAGATAGTTTCAAAAGATGTATTGAAAACGCATGTTAAAAAGCAGCAAAACAAGAATAACAAATGTATTTTTCTCAAAACTTTTGGCATTTCTGCAATTTTATGTATATATTTATGTTTTATTATGTTAATAAATAAACATGAGGGATAGAACGCATTTCATAATTAGAATTATCAAATTGGAATTGCATGTCACTAAACAGTGAAGAAAGAATATCAAAAGCCATATAATTCAGTTTTTTATGAAGAAATTTTTTTTAATCAAATGTTGGAACTACAACTCAATAAGCGAAAAGACTTATAGCCCTGCAGTACATTTTTAAAAGTTTCTTTAAGATAGATTAGAATAGCGTATCATCAAGCAAAACTATCGATAATTGTACATTGTGTATTCATAATATTCTTTAAGAATATTGAAATAGCATGTCACTAAGCATGAAACAAGAGATGGACAGTATCAATTTCAAAACCGTTTAATTTTATAAAACTGTTAATATATAAATTAAAAAAGAGTATATTACTCTAAACCTGAAAAGCATACATTGTCGTTCACCCTTACAAACACGTCAACAAATTTGACGTATTCGCCAATACGAATTCGTACAAATGAAATGATAATGGAATAAAGTACTTTGTAAAGTACTTAAGTCATGTGTGCGTTGTTTTAAAGAATATAAAGTATTGGCAGCATGTATTTATGAATTTCATTATCTATAGAGATGTCTATGCTGGCGTCACTTCACACATGCTGAAAATTCATCAATGATCAATCAGTTACAAGCAGCAGCCAATTGAACGTTTTTTTTTTCGAACTAAAATAGTGTAAACAATCGGTTGCCATTAGCGACCCTAATATTATAGCAGCTGATTAAATGAAGTCAACCAGACAATTGATGTAGTTCTGCTTCTGGCTTTGACACCTCTGTTATCACCGATTCTGCGATTATCGAAGTCTATTCATCGGTTTTCCATCAAAACATAAATTAAAGTGTTAAAAATCTGTGCAATCCGTTGTAACAATTTGCATTGGTTTAACTATTTTGAAAGCGAAAAAACGAAAAGCATGATATACACATTGATAATTTAATGTTGTTTGTATTGTAATTCTGTTCGATTTTTAGTGTTGATATTTATGCACAATATAACGATATACTTAATGCTATTCTGTAGGACATATATTGTTGATACATATGCACAAGATTTAGATGGTTGATTTCAAATAAAGCTTGCTTAAAGCATATTACTACAAACTTCCCATTCATATTCAGAATTTTATGCCTGATAATTGGGTAATAAGAGCTTTTCCCATGAACTCGTTCCATCAGTAATTTTATATGGGAACACGAATGGGTTATTTAAATTGCTTGCGATACTTCAATCCCCATAGTTCCCTATGGTAGAAGTACAGTTTGTTGTCTAAGCCATATTTTATTTCACAGAAGAACGTGCCCGCACGAAGAGAAAATAAAATGTCTTTCCACGTAAGCATAAAGAATGTTTTGGGCCGCAATAAAAATTCTTTTTCTAAACGTGAAAACATCCCCCTCCCTACCTGATATATTGCTTCTGTTGGCAATGAGGGGAATTTTGAAAAAGGTACGCCCCGGCAGATCACTTCATGGTGGCTACTTCGGCATGTGCAAAGGCGGTTGAAGCTGCAGGCCTCGTTACATTGTCCTCCGGTTAAACTTAAAATTATCATTGTAAAGGTGGACAGGAGTGTTATCATCTGAAATGAATGAATCAAAATTAGAATTTTTTTTTTTGAGTTCGTAGAAGTTTAAATTATGTCAAAGGCATAGAAAGATTGTTATGATTCGAAATAAATGAATCAAAATAAGAATATTTTCTCTTATTTTTGAGTTGGTAGAAGTTGAATTTAAACCAATGGCATAGTAAGAGTATTATCGTCTGAAATAAATGAATCAAAATAAAATTACTTTTTCTTTTCATGAATTTTTTTTTTTTCTTTTTTTTTAATTTTCGCTCCTTGGTAACTTTTTGACTGCTTCACATTCTAGAATTTTTGTATACAACTTTACAAAAGTGATTTAGTTAAGCAAAATTAGTATTTTGTACAACTCAATTTTTTTGTTCGTTATCAAATTAAAAAGTAAAACGTAATTATTAGCATTTTTTTTTCATAATTTTGAAAGTTAGAAGTTGGTTTTCGAGAGTAAAATTTTATAAATAGTTGTTAAGCATTTTTAGACTAAATACATGTTATCAAGCAAAGAGTGCTCAAAATAAATGTAGCTTATAAAGAAGAGGACTCAATATCACTCTTTTACTCTGCTATTTGCTATCCTATTCTCAATTGCTGTCTTATTTTGTCAGGTTGCAGATATACCTGCTCTCTTTTGTTTTTAAGTCCAAGTCCCAATCTCCTGAAAAAGTATATTTATACTGAGAAAGTACGTGCTTGTGTCAAAAAACAAATTCATAGGTAGCACTAACTACCACATTAAAAGTATATAATAAGAATAATAAGAAGATTGATAATAAGAATACTAAAAAGATTGATAATAAGACTATTGATAATAAGAATAATAAGAATATTGATTATAAGAATATTGTAATAAGAATATTGTTAATAAGAAAGTTAAAATCTGATTTTTAGATCAAAAGTTATTTAGGGTGATATATCTTTTCTGTTTGTTCAGTGGGCAAAAATATTTTTTTCTTTGAAAATTGAGAGAATGAAAAATAATTTAGAAAATGTTACCTTTTGAGAAAGAGTAAAATGTGTCCACCCAATGATTGCATGCTTCTACTCTAAACATTCTCTTTTGGAATTTAGAAACAGCAACATAACTTCTGAAAAACAATTTCGAAACTCTAATAATCAATAAAAACTGCATCATCAAAAATTCTCTTTACTTAGATTGATGGTTCATAAAGGTTTTTCAATAATCCAAAAGACACAATTTGTATGTTGTTGTTTTTTTTAAGTATCAATTATAATAATTTAATAAAATTTAGATACATGAATATAAAGAATTCTTTCAAAGTGTATGAATTATTTCAGCAATGTATCTATGAAAAGTTATAATACTGTTCGAAGAAAAGTGAATATTTCTACGTTTTTAAGATTAAAATTAGATATTCATATTTACCTAGAAAAATAATCACTCTTTTAATAGTGCCTTTTTTGCATCACGGCATATAAGAAAATTCAGGTTTTAAAGGATTAAAGTCCATATGTTTGCAGCACTCTTCAGGTAACAATTGCACTGAATGTAATTAATTCTGCATTGAAATAATTATGAAACTAATCTCTACCGTGCTTTTTCTAATATTAAATTATAATGTTTACTTCCATATTACTTTCTGCGCTGTAGTATTGAAAATGCCAGTTGTTCAAATTAAAATGTTGAAAAATTTATTTATTATATTCCTAAATTTTATTCAGTAAATCTTTGGTGATTGTACATAATTGTTGCGATTATGTTTTCCTTTGCTTTTTTTCGCTTTATTTACTAAACAAGAAGTCTTCTCTCACAAAACTCAATGACCGCACATAATTTCTTTTTCTTAAAAGTCGAAATTTTTCATCCAGAAAAAGATTAATTTGCATACGTAATATTTAATTATTGTAGCATTATGCAAGAACATTATATGTTAATCGTAACAAAATGAACGTTTACCTGGATTTTAAAAAAAAAATCAGTTGTGCTAGAAAAAAAATACTTAAGCTTAGATGATGACGATTATATTTAGATTTATATCTGACAACATCTAATATCTCACTCTTAATTTTCTTCAATTTCACTTATTAATGCTTCATTGATACTTTTGACATTAAGTCAAGTTTCATAGATAAATGATAAGAAGAAAAATGGTTAAAAACGAATAATAAAAGAAGTCTACAGTTTTTATGCAGAAATACAAACTGAGGCGTAAAGTGAGAAGAATTCTCAAAAAAAAAATATATAAAATATAAAATAAAGTGAAATGGTTATAACTGCGGAACAATTAAAAAAGCTTGTGTTGAGTTGAAATCAACAAGCATGGCCTTTTGCCTTGTCAACTTTGTAGTTGCATTCCTGCGGCCAGTAAAGCGGTTCGTATGGTGTTTTTTCTTACTAGTTTAACAGTATTCTCGAGTATTTAATTTCCAATTCCATTTTATTTACTGAACATTTTTCTGCATACCTTCGCAATTTCAAGTTACATAGTTTTAGCGCTGCAAGACAGGATGTAATGTAAAATTAAAAGCCCAAAAACAACAGCGGCAGTGGCTCTTACTTTTTTTTAATATCGAGAAAAAATATTTAAATAAATTGCAAATATCAACTTTAAGTTAAACAAAGTAATCTTAAAAAATCGCAGTAAAAAATCACCAAAATAATCTTAAAAAATTTGCTTTCGTAATTGCATATCTAGAAAATTCACGCAACCATCGATATGAATAGTGCATTTGCTCGAGATAATAGTTTAGAAAAAAACTATCTAATCTATTTATAAGCTTGTTAACTAAACGAAATAAATCTTTCAAATTACCTAAAAAACTGAAAGGTTAACGTTGCATTAAAAACATTTTCCTTTGAAATAAAATTATTATTTTTTTTCATCAATTTAAGAACGTGCTTAGAGGAGCGTTTTTTACTTAGACATTTTTTTTCAACTTTTATTTTTCATCAAAGTTTCAAAATATTGGCTGTCAAAATACGTTAAAAACATTTCATTGAAAGATTAATTTTTTGTAAAGAATAAATAAAAACTGATGGAGTAACTTTTTATAAGGACAATTAAAATAGCAGATTTAGCGTTTTAAATATGTCATTTGTATTTTTTTAAATGCTCGCTAGAAAAAAAATAACCGTTACAAATTATTTTCAACCTTACTGAAAAAAAATCTCAATTAAGCTATCAATTTTACATTTTCATAAAAAAAAATCTTTTCACTGTGCAAAGGAATCAAAATGCATATAATAATACAATTAAATTTAACTGAAACTCTTTAGTTTTAATATTAAAAAATTGAAAGGGTGGCTGACACCGACGCCGTTGGGTGCTCAGCTTTTCAAGTTGCATTTTGTTTTACTGCACAAGCATTATAAGACCTTAAATTACTAAGGTATATAAAAAAGTGTTCAGAGATTAACATGGAATAAGAAAATAAGCATTCACCAATTACTCAGAGAATTATTAACTGTTAAACTTGTTGGAAAGAATGCTACATTGACCTCTCTAAAAATCGCTAGAATGAGACTACAGAGTTAAACATTGAGTGTTGGTTTTTAAAATGTGCTAGGAGTTCGATATAATAAAAAGAATATAATTCCATTTTTGGTTCGAGAATTATTATTAACTAACTTGAGGGAAAAAAAGATTGGTCTATCTGCTGCCCTCTGAAAAGTAATTACAGAGTTGATATTAGACATGTTACCACTTGAAAGACAGAAATTCAGCATATACCTATATTGCCCAAATCCCAGGGCTAAAGAGAATAGAAGGGCTGGTTCACTCCTTTGAAGTAGCTCTCGCCGCGCCCAATCCTACGATTTTCTCAAATGACGTCACTTTGGCGCAAAGCTCGCACTTTTACTTCAAGAACGGAGCGTTCGGCCTTACTAGCTCTAACTAATATTGGAGCATTTCTTTTTGCGAGATATTCTAAGCCATTTGTTATTTTCTATAATGACTTTCCTCAGTTTTCGCAGTGAATTTACAAGAATTTTAAACTATTATCGAAATGCCAGTTTGCGCGATTGCAACTTGAAAAAATTTTAATAGAAAAACAAAAGGAAAAAATATAATTTTCCGCATGCTCCCTAAAGTAAATGAACAACTATGTAAAGAATGGATAATGTAAGAATGGATCGAAATAACACAGTTAATATAAAACAGCAATACGTTTATTCTGTCGTTAGGAACTTTTATAAAAATTCATTATCTAAATAGAAACCGCCTCGTTACTTCAAAAAGAAAGGCAGGTGAAAAAAATTAAAAAATGGATAAAGTCAAAGAAAATTAAAATGTAAATAAAAAGTATAAATAAAATATATAGTATATAGTTGGAATTCTCCTAATTTCATAACATATTTTTTAATGTAGTTATTCTAAATATTTATGATTTTTTTTAAAAAATTATATTCTCTTAAATTTAAATATCTATAAATTATATCATCGTAAATTTAAATACCTATAAACAATTGTAAAATTTCTAATGTCATTATGAACCTAAATTATTATTTTGTTTCAGTAATTAGCGTTTAAGGTTGATGTTTCCTAATGATTAAGTATGAGCAAATTGCTATTAACGGCATATTTTAAAATCAGGAATTCTAAATTTAACTCAACTTATTGTTATAAAAGAATATGTAGATAAAAAAAGCGTCGATATATGCTTTCATTTTTTTCAATAATTAAAGTTAAAACTGAACTTTTTAAAATAAAGTATTTATAGTGTCATTTTCGCCAACTAGTAAAACATTTTTATAAGTTTAAAATGGTATTTTTTTTAGTATAATGGCCAAGAAAGTTTTTTTGAACTATACTTATAAACTGAAATAATGTGTTAATTACGTAAAGTTTGAATGCTAATAACGAGAAAAAGTCTAACTTATTTTTACAAAGAGAAAGATGCAAAGTTATCATAATATCTTTGCTTGTGATCTCCGAGATCTGTGGACACAGTGACGTCATGAGGAGGGAAATCGTAGCTTCAGGTCCAAGAGCGGAGTGAACTTCTATTCTCTTTAGCCCTGCCCAAATCCAGTCAAATTGACTGGATTCTGAAAGAATAACTAATGTGTAAAGAAATTTGTTTAAAATTAATTTTTAATAATTTTTAATATTATTTACGGTTATATAACAAGTTAATAATAAATATTAACAATAAAAAAATTGTATGTTGTACAAAAAGTCACAAAATTCTAGGAAATTGTGTCATTATATTCTAATTGAAATTAAAAAGCAGTCAAAATGACTTCCTTGGGTAATCTAGTGTTGGATCATTTTGAATTATAACTTTAAAGTGAGGTTCTTTTTTTTTTCAGAATTGTTGATTTATGAAAGTTATTGCTCTTTCAAGATTTATTTTTGCAATTCTTTAAATTAATTTGTAATTATTAATTTACTGTTGTAGAAAAATTTATCTCTCTCTTAATTTTTATTTTATAAATTCGTGTTTGAATAAAAATGAATAAATAAAAAAATGAATAAATAAAAAATAAGATAAAGGTTAGATTTTACCACATATAAGCCTTAACATTTATAACGCAATAATTAAAAATATAAAGATTGAAGAGAAATTGAAACTTTTTCCAATCCGAACTGTTATATGATATTAAATTATTTTTCTTATTGCTAACAAGCAAGATCCCCTTTATTTCTGCTTATTGTGTCGTATATTCTTATGTTTAAATTCAATTTCAAGTACATTTATTATTTCTCAAATCCTTTCATTTTGTTAAATGAATGAAATGTGCTTACATAAAATTATAATAAATATATATTCCTTAAACAAAATTATCATTTTTATCGACTTTTAATGAAGCAATTTTAAAACGATAAACGGGGAAAAAAGGATTATGTTCATTGAAGCTGATTCTGAGAAAAAAATGATTTTGAGCTCGATACACGGCCCTTCTTCACTGAGTAATAACTCTCTCGGGGGATGGCTACTGATTTTCCACGTTTTTGATTTCCTCAAATTTAGTCATTTTCAAAATGTAACAGACGGCTATCCAATCAAACTTTTTACAAAAAGAAATGAACATGAATCGTTCTTCATTGGTGAATTAGAAGCAACCACGGGATTGGGCAACGAAGTGAACAGGGGGCGAATCCCCTTAATTTACTAAAAAAGT